GGACAGTATTTTGGTGACAAGTATTTTGCAATCTTTTCTTAAAAAAATCATTAGGTTGAGATATTTAGCTATCTTATTGGCAGTTAATCATACCATTAGCTCCCTGAGGCTCAGGTAAACATGGACTAGAGCACATGTAAAATTGTATGACCGTAGAATTCTGAAAAATGTGAGACATGACATCGGCGCAGAAAAACTAATAAAAGTGTTTTCTTGATCTGATACAATTATCATAAATCCATTAAAGTATGTCTTTGTTAATCTATTCAAATCACATGACTTCAAATGCACTGTAGATCTGTTCTAAATAAACATCAATGCCATTTTTCTTAATCCTGTTAGCAGACTGAAACAAAATATTGTTCTGTGAAATTTTCATTGCTTAAATTTAATCAAGTTTGGCCCTTCTCAAAAGTTTTTTATGGCATTTTAAAAAGTTTTTTTTTTAGACATCTAGGTCTTCCAGATTTTATTTTAACACCTATTTAACCTGTAGTTTCCTGTTACTACACTTTCAGCTATATGTTAACCCACGTGGACTCTTCAAACCAATTAATAGAACTCTGAACTATAAAATTTTATAATTTTTGATGTGGTAGTGAGTCTTAATCTAATTTCTCTTTTCTTATTTTCCATGGTGAAAAATTTCAATGCTGGTTATTAACAGTAAGGAATCTTAAACTGTCTTTAAAAGTTTAGGGTGTCCCAGCAAATGCAGAGAATTTAATAGGTGGAGGGGGGAAACACTTTATGTTTAGAAAATGGAAAATGCATACTTACGGCATGTAAATATTCAGATTTAAGATTGTCGAGTTTGATCTGACTTGGCAACACTGGCATTAAATCACTAGCAGTTCGTTTCACAGCTTAGATGACATGGAGCGCTACATAAAGGAATAGCAAGTTTTGATTGTGAGAATTCATTGCAAGAATGTTGAGTGTTATGCATAGGCTATTAAGAAGCTTTGTGCAATCTTTGTTCTTGTGAAAGTGTACTTAATAAAACTTCAGTTTGCAGATTAATGAAGAGGTTTCTGGAGACAGGTTCAACGGTAAATATTAAATCACTACACTCTTGATCCAGCTGGCCCATTGTAAACATCTCTATTGTGCTTGACTGTGTTATTGCAAGTTAAAAAAAAATTCAGATTTAAAGAGAAACAGTAAGAGAACTTAAAGAAGAAACTGTATGCATCATTAGTCACCTTGATAGGCAGATATATGAAAAGGAGATAACAAATTTCAGGAGAGTGCAGTGCTGCAGAGCAAGTCCTCAAGGACATATGCTAGACATTTTTTCCATTCCTTTTAAATTGGAATATTTACATGTTGTAAGTATGTAAAAATATTTTCTAAAAATGAAATATTTTATGGGGCATACTAAAACTGGAACTTTTGTTAAGACACCCTGTATTTTTAGTGAGTAAAAGAAACATCTCATTTCTGCATGTTTATAATGTAGTTCTCATTCTTCATTCTTATCTGATGGCTCTTAAATATCATGTTAATGTTCTCAGACCGTGGCTTTTTGATTAAGTGCATGTGAATGAGAAGTTGAAAATGGAAGTATAATTATGTAGTCTCATTAATAAATCTTTCTAAAGGATTTGATTTGTGTAATGGCAGTATCATTTGTTTCATAGATCTTCCAAAACTTCGTGTCTTTGAAGGCCGGTCTGCACAAGACGAAGTTGTGCTGCGTGGTGTGGTGAAGATTCCCTCGTAAACTTGTCACTTGATAGCAAACAATTTAGGGCAATTTTTTTTTAAGCTGCTGGAAAAAATAATTTTATAGTTCTCTATGCCTTTATTTATTCACGGCTTAATTTATGAAATAAATTGTTATTAATAACAATAGTAATAAAAAAGGGAGAAACAGAAACTGTTAATTAAAAATGCAAGTAAGAAAATTTAATAAAAAAATTTAATTCGAAAAGCTATTGAAGTAGGAAAGGAGAGTATTTAATTTTGAAGTGTGCTGAGGTTGAAAAAATATAAGTATCATCAGTTTAAATCTAGTGAGATGCCATATAGAAATTATAAAATTAAAAATATAAAATATTTATTTATGAAAAAATGAAGCATTTATGATCTTAAGGCAATCATAATTTACAAAAAAAAGTTTAATATTTATTTGTTTGTTTTATTAAATATTTCTTCAATATAGTTTGTTTAAGCTATTTATGTTTAAGCTATTTCTCTTTAATTTTATAGATAGACAAAATTTCTTGTTCAGTTACAAAGCTCCATTTTTCAAGTTCTATAATTGTATGTCAGAAATTTCCATTAAATTGTGAATGTAAATATTTTCTGACCTCTTCATCATTTTCTGCACTGTTGGCAGTGATAGTATCTGTATTTATAACTATACTACAATTTCATCATCCATTAGTTGACTGATGGTTGGGACATTGTCATCGTGATATAAAACTTCTGGTACATCATCTTCATTTATTATCACTTCACGTTTAGAAAAATTTCAAAAATTATAATTGGAAAATTTTGCTTTTAGCTTGTGATATTCCAAAACCTTGTAATTATGGCTATCGCTGTTATCTTCATCATCACCATGAAATATGGTAGCTAGCTAGCGCCACAAGTACTGTGGCATCGAAAAATTCAGAAGCAGTAATCTGTTGTTGCATAATTCAATATTGAACCTTTCTGAACATTTCCTACTGCAAGTTACATATTATCCACACAAGTGCTAATGAAAATATTCCTTTTTTAGCATAGATCATCATTTCTTGCCCAATATCTAAACTTGCTTTAGATGAAAATCAGCTAGTGAATAAATTATACTTCTCTCTTTTACTTCAGAACAGTCTCAGAGTCATAGGTACCTTCCTGGTTTATCTATAATCACGGCTCATGATCTCTACATCACATTCATTTCTTCTGTTTTGTTTGATATTGTAGTGTAATTAACCCTTTATCAATGTGCACTAACTAATCAACAGTCACATATATTAAATTAGCATTCTTTTACTCCCCTAATGCTATACAATGAACCTTCAGTTGAAACTGATGAGTGGTTTTGTGTGTGGGAAATAGGTCAAAAATTAGACATCCCAAATTTTTTTGCTTTGTACTGAAACGAGCACTGAAAATTTAAGTTTTTAAACAAACTGTAAACTTCTTACTAATTGTACTTAAAATAAAATATCGAAAAATACTGAATGATGTAGGAAGGAAATCTAAGATTTTCTTATTTATGCTCAGACTTTTTGATGATGTGAGATTTGAATGAGCTTCAGAGAATGATATAACATTAAGCATAACCATAAATTGCTTTAAAAAGCAAGATTTGTATTGCGACTGAATGCAGTCCACTGATATGCTGCTGAATGCAATCATATCTATCCAGGATTTTGGAGAAGGTGCTGATGAAGTGTAAAATAAAATTTCACACACCTACCAGTTGCCTAGTTACATCTCTTGAGGTTGCTTTTTGTCTAAATATTTGTTAGTGTTATAATATTTATGCTGCTGCAGAGTTTTATTAAGACTGCAAGGGTTTGTTTTTGATGTAGAGGTCAGTCAGTGTATGGGTAGGGAAGTTAGAGAAGCTTTCTATACCAGAAACATATTGTAGATGACTGTGAGATTTGAAAATGCTGAGAAATACACCATAGTGCATAAAATTAATGTCAACACAAAATGTGAAAATTTTTTCCATTTCTGGAATTTTTGTATCTAAACACAGGACCTGTTTAGCAGATAAAGCAATAGACGCTTTATGTAAAAATTGTCAGCAACTGAAAAACATAACTTGTTATATATTTGTAATATAACTACTGATTGAATAAATGTAAAATATAATAATATTTTCTGTTTCTGTATTCTACGATTTTTTGTGCACTTCACCCTTTCCTATTATTTTTAAGCATATTTCTCTGTAAATGTTAGGAATGTCTTAAGCAGAGTTTGTCCAAAAATTTGGACGCTTGCCTTATGCTATGGCGTATTTTTATCCATACAGCTTGACAAGTGTTATTATCGCATGAAGAATAAGATTAATTTATCTTTCACCTGATCTCACTGTTACTCAGTTTTTAAAGGGCTGCAAGAAAGTAAAGCATAAAATCTTTGTTTTAAATTTATTTAACCTGCTATCATTTAAAAAGTTATCAACATTTGAAGCATTGCTGTTATATTATTACTGTTACTATGTTTCTAGTGCTATGTATTATTACATACATCAGTGCAGACTTGTTTAGTTTTTAACTGAAGCAATTTTTTAAAAGCATGAGATTCTTGAGAAATAAATTACTAATTCAGGGTTTTCCAAATCTTGAGAAGGCAAAAGTTTTGAGAAAACACAATTGTATATAAAGCAATTTGCCTTTTAATTTGAATTATTTTAACATTCTAGAAAATAGAGTTGATGAGAATTTGATCTTATTTAAAAATGTAACTGGTATTTAAACTTAAATGCCTAATAATTTATTCTTCACAGCCTTGTCAAAATCATGATTAATTATATAGAAGAATATCTGCTTAAATGGATATAAAATATGGCAATTTATTATGCATAAATGGGAGTTGTAAAGTTAGTTCTTGCTTGAATTTTCTGATTTCATACATTTTGCGAAATCTTTACATTTGCTGTTTGAACACTGCTATTAGATTTTAATATATGACTTTATAATAAATCCAGATTTTTCTAATAGCCATTATAAATGTGTTTAACATGTTTCTATAGAATCAAAAGAACAGAATTTGGGATATTTATTTTCTTGTGGAAAACATATGATGTCTTGAAATATGTTTGATTGCGGGAATAATTCAGAATTTTGTGTAATGTAATTTGAAAGCTGAAACTGAATTAACCGCTAAAAACATGCCAATGCTGCAAAAGCAAACATGAAACATCGATTAAATTGAAGTAAAGTGTTTAGTAGTATGCTTGCAATAAATAAGTTTAGGTTAATATTGTAGATGTCCATGAGTTACTGGAGAAGCTAGAGGAGACAATAAGTTGCTTTGAGAGATCTGTTTTAAAGTAACAGAGTCTAATTTATCTTTGATATATGACTTAATTTAGGGTATAAAGACTGATAATACAGAAGAAAAGGAAATACACCTGTAAATTAATCATTTTAATAAGTGTTATAATAACGCACAACTAACAAGGTGAAGCTGCAGCATAGTTAATACCGGACTGCTGTATTTTAAGTGTTTCCTTTTAAATCTCATATTTTTAAATTAAACATTTCCATTCAAAAACCATTTATAAGTGGATTACTTATTCCGCATTACATGATGCATTGCTTAATACTATGCATTTCTGTGATGCATTACTTGATAATCAAATTTTAGTACTTTGTTACAGCGGCTTCGATCATGTTTAGTGATTTTAGATTTGTGCCGAGATTTCAACTATAATTTCTCCATGCTCATGAAATGTGAATGTAAAAATAAACAACAGATTATATATTACAAAAATACTCATAAGCATGTTTTTTAAAAATCTTTGTTATTATTATTTTCTCTCATGTAATTATTCCAGTAAACTGCAGCTCCTGTTCAGCTGTTCAACTGCAGCACTTATTGAGCTGTCACCCATATTAAGTTGTTTGTTATACAGTTTCATGGACATCAGCTCCTCTGCCCAAGAATTCCTAAATCTAATAGCAGTGACAAATAATATTCTGGAACTACTGAACAAATTTTCAATGTGGAGGCCCTTCTTCTTTTTGCAATTTTTAACATTGCATCTCCAAATGGTTTCATCGTTAACATAAAATTTCATGTTGTGGCCATTTTTGCATACTCGTTTATCAGGTAAAAAACCTCTTTCTTGAAAAATGATATGGCATCTTCCTCATTACTTGGTAAATTAAAGAATGTTAATGTGATATTCACAAAAAAAAAAAAAAAAAAAAATGCAATGGATGTATTTTAAAATAAACAGTGTGAATTCAAAAACCTCATCAGAAAGGAATAATGTAAGAACAGGCTGCAAGAGCAAAAATGCAGCATGGTGCATTTTTGCTCTTGCAGCTAATAATATACGATTACGTGGCGAGGTATAAAAACATGCACCCAAAGCTGATATATGATCGTTTTGTGAAGTGTCAGAACTCGTAGCCAGATTCTGGCAAGAAATCTTAGTTGATTGGCGATTCAATCTCGGGGGTCGCTATATCGAAGAAGTACCCAAATTTCTTTAGTTTAGTATATGACTTTGAACTTCAAAGTGAGACACTAAGCAAAAATATTATAAAGGGCGGATGAATTTTGCCTAGAATCTTACATTTATTTTTTTGCAGTGTCATTTTTCCAATTTAATGCACTTGCCTTGTTTATTAAAATGCTTGTCATTGTAGATACTACTTTCTTCTGTACCATCAATATTTGTGTCTTAAATCAATGATTAAAGTGAAGTAGTGACTTACTTTTTTGATATACTAAATTGACTTCTATGCTAATTTTAAATGCAAGACTATTTTTAGCATTTTATAATTTATAATTTATAGGATGTTTATTCTTTCCTGAGAACCATATAGTATTTCATGATGATACTAATGAATGAGAGAATTTTTTTGGGAGGGGAGTTGATATTTCATTTAATTTCAAGCATTATAGATTTCCCTAGCATGTTTTTAAGTAATATAATTGCTAAACTCTGATTGGTAGTTAATGGAAGTTTGAATGCTTTAGGTAATTGTTGATGAATAAATATATTTCAAGGTTGAGTTTTAGATTCGTAAGTGGGATATTTTATAGTATGTTCAGTTTTTTTTTTTTTTTTTTTTTTTTTTTTCCCCTTATTACATGTTATAGGCTTTGAAAATTTAATATGATGTTATATTATTATTTTTTTTTAAATCAAAACTTGTTTGATATAAAGCTTGTTTGCATGCTGTGTATTTTTCATTATGATTTATATGTTACATGTTTACTCTTTCTAGAAACTGTCTGCTCCAATATCATCTACAGAAGTGTGAAACTTTTTACAATTGTTTATTAAGAATTTCTATCATTTGCCACTTATGTTGCATGTGTAGTAAATTTGTAAAAGTTTCTTTTCCCTGCTGCTTGCATGTGTCATCTGCATTATGCTATTATGATTTTTTCTTAATTTATTTTTTAAAGGAAGAAATGATATATTCCAACTTTCATCATTTGTTGTTATTGTTGTTGCTGGATTTTTCTTTAGTTCTATATAATACACATGAAAAATATTTGCATAATTTTTGCTTTGTATTACTTTTTATTCTGCATCAAGATTAGTCGGAGATTTGCAACTATTTATGCTTAATCTAATATATAGTATTCCCTCGCTAACCTGATAATTAGTGCATTATCAAATTTTTTGTAGTTTATCAAAGATATTTTTTGGGGGGTTGGGGGGGTTACATTCACAAAGTTGCAGTGCAAAAAAACACAGTGAGAATTATTTGTTGTTTTACACAAATTGAAGTTTTGATTTTTATTAACTATAGGTATTAATAGGAAACTACATATTGTAACACAAGCCTTTTAATAAAAATGATATTGCAAGATAATTACATTAATTGACAGAGAAATGTCTGTTGTACATACCTTTTCACATTAAAAAAAAAGTTTTAAGCTAATGGCATTTCAGTATTATTATAGTTATTTTCTTTCTAAGTATAATATGATTTGAAAAACCTAATAACATCTATTTCAACAGTCATTGCAGGAATCTAACTCAAATTTAGGTCTTGAGTGGTGAAAGTGCTACTTGTTGAAGAGTATGATTATTATGGTATCTATCGTGACTTGTCGATGAACTTTGTAAATCAAAATGGAGGTATGTGATGCAAGAATTGTAGTTAAAATTTTTTAGAATTTTCAAATACCTTATATTGCATTTAATTTTTTCATACCTTATTTTTTAAAGGAATAAGTGTCTTTGGCTGTTGTGTGCCTGTTATTTTTTTTCCCTTCTATCTGATCTAAAGTAGGCCTAAAGTCTGGGACTCAAATGAGATTGGCCTTATAAATGATGGAAGGATTTTGTTATGTTGCTGCTGTTCCCATTTCTGTTTGTACTGTTTCTTGTTACTGATACTCTGCTAAAAATTTCAAACAAGATTCAAGGTGATGGCCATGCTACTGATACTCTGCAATGAGTAATGCTTTCTTCCAGTCACCAATACCCAGCATTTGGTTTTGTTTCTTGTGTAAACACACACACATATATAAATGTACATGCATGTGCACTCACATACACAACACACAAATTAATATAAAACTGACAAAAGCAAATTGCAAGAATGACTTTGAGAATTATTATCTTGTGCATTTGCTGCTAAAATTGACGTACATTACTTTAAAATGTTAAATTATTACCACGTATGCAAATTTTTTTGAACTAATAAATTACATGATTAAAATAAATGAAAATTAAAAATTAATATGTTGATTTTTTTCACTGCCAGACCTGAACATTGTCAGGAGGTAGGTAGATATAACACCTATACAATCATCATACCTGGCCTATTAGATATGTTTCTGTTAATCCCAAATTGGCTGAGGCTTTAAAATGTAATATTTACCATTTTTAAAAACCATTTTTATGTCTGAAAATTTAAAGACTCTATCCCTACATATATGGCCAGCCAGAGAAGCATATATACGATAGTATAAACTACATTCAAAATGAAAATTCAAAGCATCAGAAAATTTCGGTTGGGTCGTATGCATAAAAATGGCAAAGGCAAAGTGGGCAAAAGCAACACTTTTTACAGGAAAACTATAAACACAGTAAATATATAAGTGGTAAATGCAGTCATAAAATTAAGTATAAAAATCTGGAATTCAATAAACATTAACACTTTCACTGCTGGTCATGTGAGGTTATGTTGATAGTTAATGCTGTGTGATAGAAATAGATTGTACCCATATGCCAACTTTATGAGAAATATGATTTAAAAGAGGTAACAAAAGATTATTATGTCTACCATATTGATTGCTAAGCCTTTAAGCATAGAATTTTATGACTGCACACCAGTGTGTGATTGGCACTAAAGGTAAATTTATTTTTGCAATGCTGCATGAACCCTGGCACAAGGTATTTAAAAATGAATCAAAATTAGTAACAATAATATGCATTATTTTTGAATGAAACTATGCCACAAACAAATATATATATATATATATATTATAAATAAATATGTTATAAGACAGTTACAATGATATTCCTACAAACTAATTCCTGAATGTTATTCGTGTATGGTCTTTGCATGAAATGGAACTTTGTCTTCATTCCAAACTACATACATTGACAACTAGTTTCTAACCTTCACTCCATGCCAGTACTAGCACATATTTTCAAAACTTAATGCTGATCGGCAGCAAATTTGTTAATCAATATTTCAGTCTAATTACAAAAATCATATGAATCAATTAAAACTTACTCAAGCAGTAGGTACTTCTAAATGAATGTTGGAAAGAATGTGGATGGGAAAATTATCTGAACTCAGAGCAGCCTTTAATCTCGCCAAATAATATTAATGAAATAGTTGCTATAAAAACTTAAAGAAAAACTTTAAAAAATGGAATTCAGGCAAAATCTTAAAAAAAAAAAAAAAAAAGAAAAAATAAACAGACTAACTTTGTCTTTGCTTTGGCTGGCAACTTTCAGAAAATTTGAAATGTCAATTAGTCAAAGTGTCAGCCATAATGGTAGAAACAAAAAATACAAAAACAGTAACATAATTTTAATACAAATTTACAAAATAAATAGTTACAAATTTACAAATACTTTTACATTCAAACAAACACTTCTTTCTTCTTCATTATTTAAAAAAAAATTCTTTTGTTGTTCTTCATTATTAAGTTCAGCTTTTATGTTATTAGTTTTAGAAAATTTGAAATTTTAGCAAAGTTTTTTTACATTTACAGTTTACATATGTTTTTAATTGATTTATTATTATGTTAATGTTTAGATGTTTTTTTCAGTTTTATTATTTTAAAACATATTTATTAACTTGATTATTGGTGAATGTTTGTGAAAGCAATAGAATTTCTGGTTTGTTGACTTCCCTTAAAATATCTTTTATACAAGCTAATTGATTATAAATAGTATTTCCTATAACCTTTTTGGAGATGTTACTGTTCCGATTAAGTAGCTTAATCGAATTAAAGTCGAAATCTCTTTTGTCAAGTAATGTGACTTCTTTTGGTAATTAAAAATGTTAAGATCCAGAAAATCGACAGCTGGTCAAACTGATCAATCTCAGTTGGTCTTCTTAAGTTTAAGACAGGAAGGCTGAATATTGCTAGATTCGATGAAGTTAAAATTGTTGAAAGAATGATATCATCAATATATTTATAGAAATCTCTACTTTTTAGTAAATAAGTAAAGGTTACATATTTGAGTAGAATAATTCATTCCCATAAAGATGCCATTAATTTGCAGAAAAGTAGTATCTCGGAACTAAATGTAATTGTGAAAAAGAGAGCAGTGGAGATATACCTTCCAGCTAATAGTATCTAAACTTTTACGTATCTGTAACATTGGTAATTCTAATAGACTGGTATAAATTTTTTTCATTGGCTGTGGTGTATAAAGGTTCCCAAAGTCATAGCAATTGATATTAAGTATATTGCTCTTTTACAATTTTAATCACATGATGGTTGTTATAAATGATGCAATTGAAGTGTTTTTCTTTGTTTACATTTTTTAAATTAAGTTTACAAATCTGCTTGAATTTAAGAGAAAAAAATGTAGTCATATCCCTCCTTATAGTTCCTCGTGCCATTAGGAATAAATCTGAACTTGACTGAGCTCTTTTGGAACTTAAGCAGTGCATATAAGTTAGAAAATCTACTGAAATCAGAATTAAGAAATAATTTTAGTGTTCTGTGAAAAGCATGATGTTTATTAAAAGCATGATGTCTGTTGAAAAGCATGATGTTTTATTAATAATTGCTCTTTTGTTACTTTTAGCAACACCATAAGTAACTGCTTGTTTAAGTTCGCTTTCATCAAGAGAGCTGTTACAAATGATGCTGAAATTATTACCGACTTTGTTTTTAGTTATAAAAAATTTAGCCCTAAGAGTAGAAATTTTTTTTTGAGTTCTTGCAAGAGGTAAAAACTTTCAGAACTTTGCTGCTTAGACAGTGCTATTTTGCCATTGTTTAATATATATTCCATGTTTCCATTCCATAAAGTTTTTAGTAGGTAGGCAAAGCTTGAAGCTGGGTAAATTTATTAAAATGAAGCATTAAAAATCATCTGTATTATCTTCAACATTTTTAATGCATAATTTATTAACTGATTGCATTTCAAATTTTTAATGCTTTTATTTTATGTTCTCTTTTTTTTTTTTTTTTTTTTTAACTTAAAAAAAAAGTTCCAACTGTAAAAAACTGTTAATGTAATTTATTGGTAAAAACTTATAACAAGAAGGGGGGGGAAAGATCATTGCAAGAATATACATACATCATTGCAGTATCAAGTTGCTTTTCAGTTCAGTTCCTGATGGTTGGAAAGCCAGTTACTTTTTTTTTTTTTTTTTTGTAGTTGAAACAGACGTCCTGGAATCTGTTGTGGGAAAAGATATTGTGATGTTTTAAAATTTTTTTTAAATTTATTCTATCGAAGGCAAGATGTAGAAAGTTAATAAGAGAGAAATTCATGGTCATCATCTTTCTGTTACTTTGAAATTTAAGTATAATAAAATCTAATACAAAGTCTTTAATATCAGAAAAATTATTGAAAGTACCTATGAAGTACTATTGAAGTTGTGATAATGTAAATGTGTGCAGTAACGTGACACTTTTTAAAGTGAAATCTCAGAATTAAATAAATTAATGAACTTAAGTTGAAGTTTATTAACATTAACCCACTAGTATTTTGTTTGTAGTCTTTTTGCCTCATCTAGTTCTTCTAAGAGCGTTTTTACTGAAAATATTAAATCTTCCATAAGTAGTATGATTAAAATATAAAGTACATTTATTAAGATAAGTGTTAAGTCCCTGTTTTTTAAAATGTACAGATTTTCTGAAAAGCCTAATTTTTAGATTAGGAATAAAATCTAAAATTTTAATTGAAATATCAGTGAAACTGTGTGTTTTAAAATGTTCTATTTCTACTGTGGCCTGAGAAGTTTGAGCTGATGCAAGCAAATTCATTTTAATGCGAGATCTGTAGTTGTTTATTCTTGATTGTTTTTAGTCTGTCCTATACAAACCTTACTACATTTGTTACAAGTAATAGAGTAAATACAATTAGATGTTTTTCAGACTGCTTTTTCTCACCAAGTTGGATTAGCTCACATTATGTTGGATGTCTGTTATGTCTGTTGTGTATTTAAACAATTGGAATTTTTACATTTATAAAATCAAATCAAGGATAAAAGTAAAAAAGTAAGAACCTTAAAAAAAAAAAAACCTCAGTTTTGAAAAAGTAATTGAAACCTTAATTCAAATGAAAGTAAATTATTAAAAAAGATAATAGAATAATAAATAAATAATAAGAAATATATAATAATAAAATATAAAAAAAAATATATAAAAAAAAAAAAATTTGTTACAAGTAATAGAGTAAATACAATTAGATGTTTTTCAGACTGCTTTTTCTCACCAAGTTGGATTAGCTGGTGGGGCATTATGTCTGTCTGTATGTTAAACAATTGGAATTTTTACATTCCTATATTTCAAATCAGCAAGATGATAAAAGTAAAAGGGGGCTAACCTTAATTACAGTCAAGATTTATGAAGGAAAAACTTGAAACCTCAGTTTTGCCTGAAAGTAATAGATTAATTCAAAATCGGAAAGTCCTTGAATTATTAAAATAA